CTATTCTTGAATAAAGACAACTATTCCCAAATAAGCTATTTTTGAATAAGCAAAAGAGTGGATACTTGGGAATAAGAGACACGCACTTAGGAATAAGCTATTTTGAAATAAAGGTACTATTTTGGAATAAGGACCACTTCACAAAAAAATTACAAAGGCTCTCAGATTTTGGATTTTGGATTCTAGGATCAATTGAGATACCTTTCAAGCAATACCAAGGGTCCTTAAGGAGTTAAGATCAAGTCAAATACTTAATCTCTAGAGAGAAATACTTTAAAAAAGAATACGAGAGGCATTTAGGTGTTTCTTAGCTAATTGGGAATAAGGCACTTATTTGTGAATAAGAGTGCCTATTTGGGAATAAAATGTAAGAGTAATAAAATAACGCAAAGAGACCCAATTCCTTTACAAACCACTAATTCTTAATTATTAAACCTATAAAACACAAACTTCTTTCATTTTATAATCATCAAAACTAAGGTTTAACATTTCTCCTCTTTTTTCATGATGACAAAACTTAATGCATTTTGTTAGTCTTAGAGAGACTTTGTCTCCCCTTCAAACAAGTAATAAACAGGGAAAGTAAATTGAACAAACTATGAATTGAATAATACACTTGTATTAAAGGATAGTTATGAGTAATATATAGTAATAACCAAAAGATAAACACAAAAACGTATAAAGTATAAGCTTAGTTCAAACAAAGAAACAAAAGAAATGACAAGGCTCTTCTTGATCTCCACAGCATCAACTTTTGCCATAAAATTCTTCACCCAATCATCTGTGAGAATGTCAATGTGAGGCATTGTGGGTGTTTTTTTTGGAAGAGACTAATGGCTTGATGAGTATAGAGGACTTTGAATGCAGAAGCTTAGGCTTAGGATCTCGTTCCTTGGAAACCTTAGGCCTAAATTTCCTTGCACTCCTCTTTTTCTAATCATTGGGTGACCCTTATGCTTGTCTATACCTGAATCCATAACCATTTCTTTGCTCTTTGCACATTGCAACTTAAAGGCCATTCTTAAACTCTCAGACTTTTTCTCCCTCTTTTTGTCATCATCAAGGAGCTTCAGAGATAAGTCAACAGGAGTGAATAAATGTGAAGGGAGAGTGATTGGAGTTGTAGGACCTATAGCCTTGACCTTGGCTTCTAACTCTTTCCAAGAAGGCCGAGGAGAAAATAGAGGTGAGAGCTTGATGATTTCTCCAAAGGCTAGTAAGGGTGTCAAAGGTTGAAGATTTTAGAATACCTTGGTGTTTTATTTCATTAAGTCCTTGAACAGGGCTGTAGTAGGAACACCTGAATGAATAGGAGTTTTCTTCTCAACATAAGCCCAGGGAGTGACTTCTTCCACATCTGAGTCTTCATTGCCATAAGTATAAACAATGCAGTAATTGCATTGAAAGCTCCATCCATTGAAACCTCTTGATCCTTAGGTGCCTCACCTTGAGTAGGTTCTTGTGCAGTTTGTTTTTTTAGTAACTGGTTATGAATCGTTATTATTGCTTACGTGCTTTAATATATGGTTGAGTTGGGATATGTATAAATATTATATTATGAAAGCAAGCATAATGTGATGTAAATATTATGGTGGCATGAGCTATGATGTGAGTTTTATTGTTTATTGCATGCTAGATGTTATGTTATGCATGAGGAAATTGCATATGGTTAATTGAGCTAACATGAGTATGGTGGGTGGTAGTTCACCCTAGAGAAACCAAAGGCTAGCTTAGTATAAATCCACACGGTGTAGCCTCCATTGAATTTGTGCACAGTGGTTAGCATCTTTCATTACTAATGTGCTTAGTATTGCTAATGATCTACGAGTGTGGCATGAGTTAGGTATAATACTCAATATCACTGATCCTGGATTAGACATATGGATCAGGTAATATATGACATCCTGAAATTCGAGTAAGGAAAACTCATTGTTTAAGAGTAAGTGTGGGAACTTTTGGTTAGGTAACCTCTCACAATTAGAAAACAGGGCTAGTTTCAGTCACACAAACTAGTCCTATATTATTAATAGCTCATGGGTATGGTTAGATGATATAAAGAGGGATATAAGGTGGTTGCATTTCTCATAAGCATTGATATATATGAAATTGAGTTTATGTGATGACTTGGTTGTTATGTTATTGCTTGCTTTATTATGCTTTGTTTTAATAAGTTTATTAGTTATTGAGATTGTTTTTTTAGGAGAAGATAATTAAGAGAAAGGGAAAGGGAGAGGTATCAATGCTAAAGAACTAGAGACATATATGTAAAGTCTCTAGTTAACTTTTGTGCACTGAAATGATATTTTGCCAACTCTAGGATTTGTTGCGTGCACTTATTCATGGAAGGATATATGTTTTATTTGCATGTGAGCCCAATTGTAAACTTGGGCAATTTTGTGAGTATTTGGCCTCAATTAGTATATTTTTTAAATAATTTACATGACATGTGCTAATTCTTTATGCTCATTTTTTCAACAATTTCATATTTATATGTTACATATGTATATAATATTATTTTTATTTAATTTTTATGTCATCAATGTGACTGGCGATTTGACTAGTAAGAACATGTGAACCATGAACTATTGGCATTTCTAGTTCTCGATGTTGAGCCTTTAAAACACGGATAATTAATAAGTATATAGCATGTAGTCAAAATACAAAAGATAAAATTATCTTTCGCATAACTAATGGTTAAGGGGATTGAGATTTAGTGCTTATCAAAGGAATGAGCACCATGGTGTTCATCACCCTTGATGAGATATGAATCATCCAGATTTAAAACTTTTATTTTATTTTTATTTTAAATTTATTAAAATAAAAATTTAAAAAAATTACAACAAAAATTAATAAATTTTCTTTACAATTGTTGGATAGTTTAGATTTAATTTTAATGGTCCAAATTTAATATTTATTTTTTATAATTTTTATAAATTAATTATCCAGATTTATTTAAAATTTAAAATTTAAAATTTTTTTAAAAATATTTTTTAGAAAGTGACAGCTAGGAAATTATCTTTATTTATAAAATATTATTTATCAAAATAAAATTTTAATTTTTTTAAATTTAATATTAAATGTGGACTGTCCAAAGTATACTTAGGAAGTCAATTTATAAAATAAAATAATTTAATATTATTGACCCATCTAGATTAAATCCATACTATCCAAATTAGTGATAAACAACTTTATTAAAAAATTTGATAAATTTTAAAATTTTTAATTTAATAAATACAAAATAAAAATAAATAAAAGTTTTAAATTTGAACAATCCACATTTAATCGGAACATGGTCTAGCTCTCATCAAGGATAACTAACTTTTACTACCGTGTGATGTACAGGGAGATTTTAATTAACAACTTATTAAATCATAAAAAAATTTCATTTTTCAAAGTTATATAAATGAAAGATTTAAAAAAACAATGAAACCAAAATTATCTACATATAATAACACAAAATTTCCGGTGAAGAAAAAGCTCTGAAGGCCACTGCTCACAGGATGCCGTTCGCGATCTGGAGATCTAAGGGGAGAAGAAGCTCAAGTTCTTGGCTGAAGAAGATGCTGAAGTTCTGAGGAGGGGAAAAATGCGTTCGATTAACGGACCAACATTTTTTTGAGGCCTGCAATTGATGGGACAAGTTGCCCCAAAGAAAGTGATCAGCGTACTTTATGGAAGATCATAATGGCCATTACCCTTTTATGGAAAGAAAGCATGGTCCGAAAAATGCTTTAGGCAAGGGAAGAAGAGAAATGGTGTTACCTTTTTTGAGCAAGAATGACTGAATCGGGGAAAAATAAATAAATTCCTCTACAAAGGGGCTTCTTGGACACTCTTTGACCATCTTCAACTGATGTTGAACCATTTGAAATAATTGATGTTGGTCTGACCAGTGTGTTTGGATTCAAGGCTTCAATTGCAAACTTGTTAACGTCCCTTCTACCATAGCTGAAGTAATTGCTATCATTCATGGGCTAAACCTGTGTTGGAACAAGGGATATCGGAAAGTGAACTTGTACACTGACTCCTTTGAAGCCATTAATTTCCTTACTCAGGTTGTGATGAAAGTCACCTGTTCAAAGATATAATCACTGATGTGAAGATGCTTTTCCACTATGACTGGACTCTAGAAGTTTATCACTTGTACCGTGAACATAATGTTTATGTTGATTTTTAGTTAGGAAATCTCATAATTTAGATAATACTTTTTGTATCTTTGATCATCCTTCAAACTTTTTTTAAGGGTTGGAAAATGATAAGGTATTCTCCCTTCCTGTTTTGAATACTTTGTACTGTCTATATATAGCCTTCTAATGGCATTTTAATTCCAGTTTATAATAAGAAAATAATAATAATAATAATAATAATAATTAAAAATGGTGAGAATAAGCTTGTAGATGTGGCATGTAATTTGGGAAGAGGACGAAAGAAAGAAAGGACAAATAGGTTACTGTAACTAAAGGGGATATACCCTCTGATGACCACTGAAACCTGGTCGGTCAACCTACTGGTCAAGTGATCAAGTATATGTATGTGGAGGCCAGCTAACTTGATCCTTAGCGGAAAACATGAGATCTTTGCTTCGGTGAAGAAGATCGCTGAAAGCAAGAGGAGAACATTGTCAAATTCCTTTCCAAGAAGAGGCAACGATGAAGCAGAATGACACACTTGAGATTACCGAAGACCAAGATGAAATTCATCGACAACATCCCCTCAAGCGCCGTACGGAACAAGAAGTAAGATTTCTAGTTTGCTACTGTTCGATGCCTAGATATGGTGTTATAGATTTTTCAGATTGTGAGATTATAAGAAGTCAATGCTATTGAGTGGGGAAAATGTAGCTACAGTGATCAAGGGGGTGGTTTCTCTGTAGTTTCCTTCTCAGTTTAGATCTTCATCCGAAGCTTATGTTCCTCCTCCTCCTATTTTGCTAATGTAATTTCTGTTTGCTTACCTAAATCAAAATGTATATATATATATAGTTGGCAGATCATGTGATCATGGACATGGAAGCAATGATTCAGCGAAGCCAAGAGGGGGTTTTGTTACCTGAATGTTGTATCTACAAGGTGCCTCATATGATACGCGATCAACATGGAAGCGCTTATACTCCAAAATTTATTTCAATTGGCCCCTTTCATTATGGTGATGAGAGATTGGAAGATATGGAGAGGCACAAAGAAATCTTCTTTGCAAGATTTATCCGTAAATCTAAGAAAAGCTTGAGTGATTTGGTTAATTATGCCCAATCTTCAGTGCAACAAGTTCGTGATTCTTACTCAGAGGACATCGCCTTCGAGGACAAGGATCTTATGAAGATGATATTACGGGATGCAGCTTTTATTATTGGACTCTTCTGCGGGTTCATTAGCGAAGACAAGGAATTATTAAAAGATGCTAAACTGTCACAACTATGGGTGAGGGCAAATATTGCTCAAGATTTGCTTTTACTTGAGAATCAACTTCCTTTCTTTTTTATTGAGAATCTATACAACAAAGCAGATCCCTGTAACCTCGGCGGTTACCATCCTTCATTTCGCGAGCTCACGTACATGTACTTTAGCTTTTATAACATTCAAAATTTAAAGCCTGATCCTAATGTGGGAATAGCACACTTCACAGATCTTCTCAGGATTTTCCATTTGCAAGAACAGAAGCCTCAAAGGAAATTATTCCATGCATCTAGTGATATTCTTTTATATAGTGCACACAAGTTGAAAGATGCAGGAGTAAAGTTGAAGGCTGGCAGAAGCAAGTGCATATTAGACTTGAAGCTTTCAAGGAATAATCATGTTCTTCAGGTTCCAGAGATTACAGTGGATATGGGGACTGAAATTTTGTTTCTCAATATGATTGCTTTAGAACAGTTCCGTTATCCTTATGATACTTACATTACTGACTACGTTGGTGTGCTGGATTGCCTGATCGATACAGATAGAGATGTTGATGTCTTGATTCATCAGAAAATAATCCGCAACCATCTTGGTGATAGCAGGAGTGTTGCTGAATTATTTAACAGCTTGTGGAAAAATACTGTTCCGATGACTTTCAGCTCTGGATATTTGGATCTCTGCAAAAGATTGAATGACTTTTATCAAGATCCTTGGCGCAAGAAAAAAGTAGCTTTGAAAAGGGATTATTGCAAGACAGCGTGGCAAACTACGGCATCAATTGCTGGTGTCATACTCATCATTCTCACCTTTATTCAAACCATCTTTTCCATCCTCCAAGTTGTATTGAACAAGTAGATTTCATTTCAAGCTTGTAAGTCTGAGGGTTATATCCTCAAAGTCTAGTTTCATTCGGTCTAATATAGCGTCTACTTCCTTGAATCATACTTCTTATTCTTACCATTATTCAAACCATATTTTCTGTCCTCCAAGTAGTATTGAACAGGTAATGGGTTTTTACAATCTATGAGAACAAAAGACAAAACCATTACCTATAGTTTGACAACAGGCAGCGAGTTTGAGCTTTAAGAATAGGCAACAGCTTTCGCCTGTTACCAAACTATTCTAACTGCTCTCACCCATTGTTAATAATTAACTTAGCAGCAATTCTTGCCCGTTGTCTATTCGCTTTAGACAACAGTTTTGTACTGTGTTTCAAGGTTTGCAAATAAACAACAATTTTGGCTTGTTTCAAAGCTTGTCCAACAATTTACGCCTATTGCCTAAAACTAATAGGAAACAATTTTTTCTTGTAACTTATGCATTAATTATTTAATACATTTTTTATGTTATTTAAATTATGCAACAAATGGAGTTTCATAAATTGACATTGACAATATATAGTAAACAACAAAAAATGGCTCGATTTAATTTATATAACATTCAACAAATTTAAGGTATCCAATACACATACAATATACATCCAAAATACAATCTTAAATTTGTAATGAGCTCTCAGTATAGTGAACTCTAAATGCCTATAACCACAGAAAGTTATGCAATCCATGTTTTGCAAAATTTTATTGTTTAGAAGAAAGCTGTACATCTTGCTTTTCCAAGGAGGTCCTCTTCAGAGACATGCTTTGATTTGAGTTGCTTCTAAGAGGGATGTCTTTATATCTAGCTGTTGCATCATTTTGTGGTTCTGTCATTGTTTCACGCTTTACTTCTCTAGGTTTCTTAACAATTCAGTAGTTGATCTTGCTTGGATAGGAACAATCAAACCTTTTTTAACAGGACTTTGGAACCTCTTATTCATTTTTCAATCCACAAAAAGAATGCAATTTCAGTTTCAGCGGTCAGTAAAAGAATTATTTTACAGAAGCATTCAATAAAATGAGCAATTAAAGTTTGGGTTAACGTACAATTTGAATCCTGAACTATAAGTTTGAGGATGATTTAAAATATAAAATTTTAAAAAATACATTTTGAATACTAAACGATTAAAGTTGGGATAATTTCGCTTCCACTATTAAATTTGAACAAACATCCATAATTTTTTTTTAAAAACGGGGCTTAACTTGTAATTCCCCTCAAATGATGGTAGGAGAGAGAGAAGCACAGTAAAATTTGATGAAAATCACATATTTAAAAGTTCAAATTTGGGCTTAATTTGTTAAAAACTAACAAACCTTTGTTCAAATTTAATGGTGGGGGCAAAATTATCCCAACCTTAATTATTTAGAGTTCAGAATATACTCTTTAAAAATTTAGGATTCAAATCACCCTGAACCTATAGTTCAGAATTCAAATTATATATTAACCTTTAAAGCTTTGTGGGATTAAGTTGAGAAAAATAATCCCTATCATTTTGTATGATTTTGAAAAATAAAATGCCTACTATTATTTTAAATGTCATTTTTCTGGTTTTTTGATCAAAGGAGCATATATGTACTTGGGAATTATGCGACTGAAACATAATTGGCAGAACCTAGTAAGTAGTGCTAATAATTTGTCTAAACAGGTTGGAGAATTTAATTTGAGATCTTCATGTGATAATTTAGTAAAGTAGTGCTTACTGTAAGTAGTGCTAATAACCCATCCAAAGGAACTCCACCAGCATGTTTCATTATAATTAAAGTCAAATACCATATCAGACCAGATCTTTGGGGGGGGGGGGGAACAAACGGCATTATGACTTACATGTCCAAGTTCTTGGCTTTATGACTTGCACATCTTAAAATAAACACACATACTGATCAAACAATTTTAAATAAAAATACATTACAAAATTAGAAATGTGATACCTTGATTAAAAATAATTGCATAGCTTGACCAAATAAAATTGTTAAACTAAAACAAAATAGTTATCTGCTACAAGGATCAATATTCTCGTCAGAAAAATAAAATAAAATAATGCAGCTATAATATTCTGTCTCATTGAAAAACTAAAATTATATCGCTAACATCAGAAGGTATTATTCTTATGTCCGTCCTCCTACTTGTTAACAAGTATCACACACTTAACCAAATCTGAATTATACATATATATAGATACATATAGCTTGATCAAGATCTTAGAAAAAACCGAAAAATGTGAATTAACGAAGAGTAGTGAAGACTTACAAGTAGACGCATATGAGCTAGGTTTTCTGGTCTCTTATTTACCAGCAAATCTATTTTGCATTCCTAATTCTATTAACTTGGTTAAACAAACAAAATTAATAGTTTAATGTCAAACTTACAACAGGACCAACTCTCAAAGAAGAAAACTTAATTTAGAATCCATTTCTAATTCTAATTTTCTGTTCAAGAAACAAACTATGGAAGGCGAAACTAGAACAATGTACAGCATTTGCCAGTACTCCTGTAGGCATCTGTACACACTCTTGTAGAAAATGTCACATAGATTCACATTAAAAACCTTGTTAATGACTTCAAATTTCAATAAGCCTATACCCCTAACACTTAAAATAGGTGTGGCTTTGCATGTTTTCCATTGAAAAGAAAAAAAAAAAAAACAGGGAGAGAAGCATGACCCGAGACAGAAAGAAGGGGGAGAAAAGAGAAGCTCACAGTATAGTTTGCTAATAACTGACCATTCATTTCTTTAAGAGCAGCAGCAAGGTCAACAGGATTGGCAAAGCTTACAAATCCATAACCCTTTTTTTTTTCCAGTCCGCTTATACAAAATAGTCAAATGAATTATAGTCATCGAAACAAATTTCTAAGCAAATTTACAAGCACCGCAAACACAAGTTGAATTGATTTAGAAGAATGACGATCAGAAAATTAGAAGCTACGGCCTATCAAGAGCCTAAAGTTCTCAGCATGGTAATTTATTAAAAAATCAATAACAAAATGTAATAACCCATAATATAGTTGTAAAATTAGAATAAATAATAAGATAAATTTATTTCACTTTATATTGAATGTTGGGAAAACAAATAGTAACATGTGTGGGTAATTAAGTGGAAGTTAGACTTATCTTTGTTCTTGCTATGAAGTTCCCCGTTCGAATCTTGATGGAGTCTGAATGTTGTCGTTCTTTTTTTCATCCGTACGAAATTACCATTTTGCCACTGTAAAAAAAAATAAAAAAAAACAAAAGCGGAGAATGAATCTGAAATAAGACACGTACGGTGGCATTCTTTCCTTTGCTAAAATTCTCCAGATCCATCGAGAAAGGGAGAGCTCCAATCTGTCTCATTTCTTCACCCTCTCTTTGTGATTGGCGGAGGCGACGGTGAACGAGCCTTCTTCCTCCTTCTCCGTTCAAGTAGCTATGTGGATGCGTCAGAAATCTCCCTCCCCTATTTTCTTTCTTCGACTTCTCCAGAACGAAGCAGGAGGGAGAGAGTGAGCTTGGTCTTTCATTCTCCGTCCTTCCTTCTCCGCCCTTTTACTCGTTCACTGCCGCCGACCATGAGAGTGCAAGAGTTGTATTCCTTCATCTTAGTCCGAGTAGTAGAGGGAGGGTGCGTCGATCTGCTCTGTTCTGCTGTGCATATACTCCTTCATTTTTTCCCCTTCTTCGGTTCTCTTCCTTCTGTCGCCGGTGAGTATGTGAGTGGAGGAGTAACAACTCAGTTCGTCGACATTGCAGAATTCTATTTTATCTTTCCCTTGCTTCGCGATGCTGCCCTGAGGTGCGTGAGAATTATCTCCTCCTCCTCCTTGTTTGTTCGTGTATGTGTGTATGTTAAGAGGTTGCAATTGTAATCTCCTATTCCAACGATGCTGTGTGCATTTGATGGCTTTGGTTATGGTTTTTTTCTTTTGTTTTTTTGTTTTTTTTTTCAATGTTACCGTTGAGTGTTGAGGTTGAGATTTTTTTTTTGGATTGAAATTGATTGTCTTTATTAAGGAATGGAACCCAGAAGGCTAACTGATTAAGAAAATTATATTGGAGAATTTTTGAAAAATGAAATTGAAGAGGAAGGACTTGGAATATTAGTTTAAGATTGACGCATGTTAGGTGTTTGATAAAATGCCTGTTAGGAAGAGTTTTGTTTGGATATTTATATTTTTGAGATTTCATTAACTCTTATGAGAAATATGTCTAGATTAGGTGTTAATGAGCCATGAACTTGACTTTTACCTTGCGAAGGAATTTGATGATGAAGTTAACAAATAGCCAGTTAAATTTTTAGAAGTTGTATGCTTATTGATAAATTGTTGGACAAGCTGAATTTTTGGGAATTGTATTGTTGATAATCTGTAAACTATGTTGTTGTTTTATGACCTGATTTTGGGATGCGTTTGAGGTTTTCGATAAATTGTGATAGAAGGATCTTTGGATCATTAGAGTGATTGAATTTGGTATGTGTTTATTTAGGTACACTTCGCTTAAAATTACCCTCTTTCTTTATTAAATGTGAGGTATTTTAGAATTATTCTCTTTTCTTCGTGGTGGTTACTGAAATTTTGATATTCCCTTTTGCATAAACTGTCATGCGTGTATAAGGGAAATGTTGATGTTCTAACAAGCTTAAGTAAAGAACAGGAAGAATTTTGGTTGTATTTTAATTGATTTTTGGCAAGGACGTAGGTTTGGAAAGAATAATACATCTGTTTTAAATGTTTAGGATCATTAATTCTTGATGGGAATTGGCTAGTGTTGAAGAGAAGGTGATCTGGGGAGTTTGGAAAAATAAGTATCGAAGTGATAATTTAGGGACCAAGTTTGTTTGTTCTTAAGTTAGTCTTTGAGTGCATATAAAATGTTTGTGAAAAGAAGAGTATGAAAATTGGATATGAATGTGACTGAAAATGTTGAATAAGTCATAACAAGAGCTGTTTATTTTCTATAGAAAGACTTGAAAGCTTTGGGTATTGTTTATGTGCTTGTATGTCAC